GTCGTAAAAATGTAATAATCTGTAAATAATCTTTTTATTATCTTGTTTCAGATGTTCTTGACTTTGACAGCTTTGAAGGTGTTGCTAGTAAGGTCAGCGACATTGTTGGTAATAAAGGTTTAAATGTTCTGATCAACAATGCTGGTATCAATCGTGGCAAAAAGGACAGCCTCTCGTTAGTTAATGCTCAGGATATGATTGATGTTTACCGCACCAATACAGTAGCTCCAATCCTTCTGATTAAGGTAATGCAATGACTTATTAGTTATTAAAGTCTGCAAACAAGATAGACAAGTTGGAATTTTATTTGTTTGACAGGCATTACGACCTCTACTGAAAAAAGCAGCTGAGGTCAATAAGTCCTCTCCAATGGGTTGGTCTCGTGCAGCCATTATAGACATTTCTTCAGGTCTTGGTTCTGTGTCAAACAATGATTTTGGAGGATGGTTTGAGTATCGGGAAAGTAAGGTAAGTGAAGTGTTGGGTAGTTTCAGAAAAATCAGAAATGTTACTGCTTTGAATAACAATTCTCTTTTTGTTTTATTTTAGGCTGCATTGAATATGGCAGCTCGTTCAGTAGCTTCTGAACTTGGACCTGAGAATATCCTAGTTTTGAGTGTGCATCCAGGATGGGTTCAAACAGACATGGGGACAAGTGCTGCAGATCTTAAGGTTGAAGATAGTGTGAGGAGCATGCTGAATGTGTTTTATAATCTCAAACCTGAAAACCATAACACATTTGTTCAGTGGGAGGGTAAGACCCTGCCTTGGTAATATCACCAGGCTTTAAAAACATTCCTACTGGAGATAAATTTTCATATTGTACTTCACTAACCATGTAATAGTTCACCATGTCGATTCAAATAATAAATTTTCAAATAAAGTATGATTAAAATATTTTCTTTACCAAAACTAAGTTTACTTTTGTCAAAGAAGCAAGGAGTCACATGGGAACGCTCCCATTTTATGAGAGCCACCAACACATCTAGACCTAGACAAGTAAGTGGAAAGAAGTAATAAATTGCTGTGTCAGACAAAATTATCAATGTGAGTGTAACATCACAAAGTAATAAAATTTAGTGAATCGGAGCCCGGTTAAAAACGCAGTAAAAATGTTCTGGTTGGCTGAGCCCTCTTACTCTATAGCTATAGCTTAAGTTTAATCTGCGAAGCCTTTACAACTCACTCCGAGGGGCACCAGGCCGAACCAAGTTGGGATTCGGCAGGGTAGGCAACTGACCAGTATGGACAAAGCGCTACCTTATGGCTTTCAATCTAAAGAAAACGCATGTGAGCCATAAAACAACTTTTCATTATGACTTTAAAAGTAAACTTAATTTATGCAGATGACGTATTGGCATAAATATTCAAATACAAATGACAGAAGTAAGTCACGAAATAGAATGTTGTTATGTTGGCAAAACATAAAACTCAGGTGGGATTCGTAAAAAAGTAAGTCGAGCGGGGTAAGAAACGAAATCACGAAGAAAACGAAGGGAGGAGGATGTGAGATTTGAGGAGCGAAGGGAAGGGAGCGGAAAGGTGCCAAACGTAAACCATCACATAACCTCATTCCGCATGAGTACAAGTTGACTTAAGGTTAATGAAACTCAACATAGACAGAAGGACAGTAAAAGTGAAACTCGATTTTTGAATTACTGTTAATGTCAAATTTGTTCTGACTCTAAATCTTCAATGTCCTTCACTTAAAACTCAAGGAAAAAATAATAATGGGATCCTGTCGAAGCCTCCCTTTTCTACTGTCTTCCAACTGAGGCATTTTGTGT